CTATGATGCTGCGCTGCCTTCCTGATGAGTCTCAGAAAATGGTTTTAAATATACCAGATAGACAGTCTCTACAAAAGTCTGCCCATGTACCATAAGCTAAATACAGTATATGAGTCTGACCTATCTAAAATGAGCTAGTTACTTCTTAGAATTTAGAAGAGGGATGATCCAGGCTGCTTAAGTCTCATTGAAAAGCTGTTTAAGCAAGTTTGAACTGATACCTTCCTTTCATCTTGAAACATTTCCCCATAGCAAGCAAAAGCATTCAGAATCATTCACTAGACCAATTTTTAAAAACAAAAACAAAAGTAAAAAAATTATATAGTTTAAATATTTAGAGGAATTTAACTATGAGTTTCTAAAAAATGGAAAATTGTACAATTCCATCTTATCCATCTGGTTTCCTTGGTCTCCCGACTTCAACTTCAAACAATATCAATAGGGCAGCCTTAAAAAGAAAAAGAAACCATACAAGACTGTCTAAAATGTGTGTGAATAAGCCAGTAGGGAAAGACAGTCATCCTCTTTTATATTAGTGATGGGGAGTGCTCACAGGCTGATTATGTGTCTATCAACAACATCAAGGCTTCTTTTAACCCCACCACTCAAAACCACCTTCTTCTACCACCCACTGCCCCTCTGACTCACAATCTACATGGGACTGTGGTATAGAAACTAACACTGAAGTGTAGGTGTTAATTAGAATTTAGACAGTCGTAGATAAGTACAATGTGAATGCTGGAGAGAACGCGTATATATGTATGTGTATATGTACACATAAATGTGTATCTATATATCTATATATATATATTTATATCTTAATAGGCTCTGGGCTTACAATCCCAGCCTTTCTTAGGCAGCCTTTCTCCTGTTCAATTTTCTGTCTAGTTTATTATTCCTCTACACTTTCTGTTCAAGACATATGTATTAATGGTCCAGATCTATGGGCTTTCCATCCAATTGCATATCATGATTGCAGGCATTTTTCATCCACTTGGTTTTTCCTGTGTGGATAGTTACACCATTATGGCTCATGATGTATCAGATGGAAATATTAAAAGAAAATTCAATGAACGTAATTATTATTATAATCTGCAATAGATTGTTCAACTGTCTCTTCATCTATAGTGTTCCAATCCAGTGTCAGGTTATTGTGTCTCTTCACAGAGTGATACTTTCCATCATTTCCTTTAAAATTCATCTGTTACCCTTGTCTATAGGAAAGGAATAATAAAAATTCATGTTTATTTAGTGTTCTGAGGTTTGGAAAATGCTTTTATACATATTTTCTTATTTGAACCTCACAACAACTCTGTAAGGGGAGGTGCTATTATCACTTCCATTTTACAGATGAGGAAACTGCTGAGGCTCACAAAGGATAAGTGCTTTTCCCAGGCTCACATAAACAAAAAGTGTGCGAGGCAGAATTTGAACCTAGTTCTTCCTGACCCTACATCCCTCTGGTCACTATATTATGCCACTCTGACTCTATTTACAGACTGAAAACTTATCCCAACACTCATGTCTTTTCTACTTATCAATATTAGAATTGGTTATCCTTCCTCTTACTTGTCCAGAGTTGGCAAGAAAACCCAATTATCGCCCAATTTATTGATATTAGGTCCTCACTTACCTTCACTCCTGGTGAAGCTGTGTTCTCAACAGTTCCTGGAGGAATACTTGGCCTATCAGGAAGGGAATAAGCATTTAAATAGCACCTACTATGCCTCAGACACTATGTTAACCCCTGCCCCTTTTTTAAATGTTATTTAATTCTCACAACAACCCTGCAAAGTAGATGATATTACTATCCTCATTTTATAATTGAGGAAGCTGAAGCAGAAGTTAAGTGACTAGCTTGAGCTCACATGGCCAGTAAAGTGTCTGAATCTAGATTTGAACTCAGGTCTTCCCGACGCCAAGCCCAGTGCTCTATCTGTTGCACCACCAGCTTCCTCAAGGCTGGCCTTCATCATGGTGTCTAATCACAGTAAGTTAATGTTTGTAAAGCACTTTGAAAACCTTAAAGTGCTTTATGAACGCTAGTTATTATTATTAGTTCACAGAATCTGTTACAGAATCTCAGAGTTCCAAGGAATCTTAACAGCTAGCGATACCTTTAACTGATTCATAATTCCCCAACACAACATCCTTATAAAGTGTTAATCCAGCCTACACATGAACGCTTCTAGTGAAAGGTAGCTCGCTACTCAATGAGGCATCCTTGAATGTTAGGATATGCTTCTCAATTCTTTGCCAAGATTTACCTCTTCAGTTCCCCCCCTCCTGCCCCAGGGAAGAACCTAGTTTTGCCCTTTAAATCTTCACAGGATAAATCTAATTCCTCCTCATGAAAGCCTTTTTTAAATACTGGAAAACTGCTCTCAGACCTTCCTAAATCTTCTCTTTCCTAGGCTTGTTATCTCTATTTCGTAGATTTACAGCTAGAAAGGAACTTTCCAACCTCCTCAAATTCAGAGGAGGAAACTGAGACTCAGACAAGGGATATGACTGAGTCAAGGTCACACAAGCAGTCAGTGTCAGAGTTTGAACTTTTTAAGCCACTGCCCCTATGAAACTATGCTTTATATGACACAGCTTTTAGATGCTTTGCCTCATTTGCTCTTCTTTGGACATTTATTGTTGTTGATGTTTAGTCATTTTTCAATTCTGTCCAATTCTTCATGACCCCTTTTGGGGTTTTCTTGGCAAAGTTACTTGAGTGGTTTGCCATTTCCTGCTCTAGCTCATTCTTCAGATGAGGAAACTGAGGCAAACATATAGCTATCTACTCAAAATAGAGAGTTGATGGACTTGGAATGAAGACTGAAGCATCTTTTCCTTTTTTTCCTTTTTTTTTTGACATGATTAAAGAAAGAATTTGTTTTGCATGGCCATATGTATTTGTAACAGGTTTTGTTTTTCTTTCCTTCTCAATGGATGAGGAAGGGGGAAGAGGGAGGGAGATAATTTGGAACTGAAATTAAAATTGAATTTAAAAAGACTGAAGATATCTGGGGGGAAAAAAGGCAGCTAGGTGTTGCAGTATATAGAGCACCAGGACTGGACTTATCTTCCCGAGTTCAAATCTGGCTTCAGACATTTACTAGCTGTGTGACCCTGGGCAAGTCATTTAACTCTGTTTGCTCAGTTTCCTCATAATGAGCAAGAGAAGAAAAATGGCAAACAATTCCAGTATTCTTGCCAACAAAACCCCAAGTGGGTCACAAAGAGTTGGACAAGATAGACAACAAAAAAATCTGAAAAAAAAATCAATGATCTTATGATTCTCTCAATTTCCTTTCTGTACCATCCATGATAGAGAAGAGATCTTTGTATTTTATTTTAGAGCCTTGACATTTCCAACCTGAATAGGGTAGAGGTGGTGACATAGGTTATGAAGGAAATTTGCTGTGTGGCAATGGACAAGATAACACCTCTCATAATGAAAACAGTAACTCATATTTGTATAGAGCTTTAAGGCTTATAAATTGTGTTCTCCCCAACAATTCTGTGAGTGCAAGTGTTATGTACCCATTTTACAGATGAGGAAACTGAAATAGAGAAATGAAGGTCACTTAGCTAGTATGTATTGGAGCTGAGATTTGTAAATGAAGGAGTTATACCCCATGATGACAAACATCTCTTCTTTCTCTGGGCCCCAAAGATCTAGGAAACCTTTCCAAAGAAGTGCACTAATTACTCTCAGATTCCCATGGGTGGGTAGTATGATGACCTGAGTTTATAGGAAGATGTACTTGAAAGTGTATCATCAGTCACAAGCTCCTATAAGTTGACCCCATGCTCACTGACTCACACTATTCCTATGCCCTTGGAGGACCTTTCATGATGAAGAAACCCAGCCTGAATGGGTGCCAGGGACCTGTGGGTGCTTTTGGGATCACTGTTTGATGCCTTGGCTGTCTCATCTTGTGCCTGAGAATCCCAGGGTTTGTGATTTCATAAAGCAGAATGTGAGAATGATTTCACTGAGTCAGGGCACCACAGCAAAGCCTAGCTTGGGCTTTGAGATGAGGTGAGATGACAGCAGCAGCTCTGATGCTCGCAGGATGCTCAATTACAGACTCCAGGGTAGTCAGGGGTGAAGACACTCATCCCTTTCCTCTTTGCTTTCATACCTACAACCCTCCAAAGCTGTTCCAAGTGAAGCTCTTATTTTGACTCTTTGGGCCAAGTTCACATGACACAAAATGAATATCACATTTTGTTCTCCCTTGTTCTCTCCAGCTGGCATTTTATTTTATTTTTAAAATAAATTGCATTGATATGTTTTATTATACATTTTATAATACGGCTCCCTCCTCGGCCCCTCCCAAAGTCATCCCTTATAACAAAGAATAAAAGGGAGAAAAAAAAATTTGGTAAAACTGATCAATATATTGAAAAAATTTGATATCACATGCTGTATTATATGCATAGTCTCCTACTTCTATACTTTTTTATATGGGTGATCTTATTAGCTCCAATGAATTCAATCATCATCTCTTTGTAGATGATTCTCAGATCTATTTTTTCTAGTGCTAACTTCCCTGTTGACCTCCAGTCTCACTTGTCTAGCTTTCTTTTGGACATCTTGAATTGGATGTCCTATAGACATCTTACATTTGACATGTACAAAAGTGAACTCAAAATCTTACCCCCCCCCACTTGAGTCACCCTGTGAGTCAGAGCTGTGTTCTTGCCACTCTATTTTCATTACTAAAATTTATGCTAGAGGTGTAGACCCATAACGTTGGTTCTTTCAGAAGGGTGTTCCCTTGCGATTCAGGGATTTCCATTGTTCACTGTTGTCTACTTTACTTCCAGAGGACAAACACACCCTTTTCAGATCCTTTGGGTAAGAGGTGGTGACTTTCCTCTTGTCGCTTTCCTTAATGTCATATTCTAGCTTCCACACTGATATTTTAATACACGTGACTATATTGTGTGAGTGCTGATTCCCCACTGTACAATCTGTTTTTCTTTATCTCCCATTACAGATATTCCAGGCTGGCACAATACTCGACTTCTGCCTGATTTTCTTCTTCACCTTTGGGAGTGCCCCTCAAAATGTATGATCAGTCCTAGACAAAGCTGTGAAGGAGGTGAAGTTTGTCTTTGCTACCCTGCCTTAGCTTTCAGTTCAATTCAATTTCTTTTATCAGGTCAAAGGATTTACCTTGAGAAGCAACCTTTAATATTAATCAATTCAATGCTCTCATATTATAGATAAGGATATTGAGTGCCATAATGGTTAAATGACTTGCCCAAAGTCACACAAGTAGTAAGTAGAAGAGTCAAGATTTGAGTATAGTTCTGATTCCAAATCCAGAGTTCTTTCCAATTCAATTCATTATAATACACATCTTTTACCTATCCATAGGGAACATAGCAGATTTTGCTTGGGAGATGGGGAGGTCTCCATCTTCACCAACTCCTCCCAGTCCTTTTCAGCCTTGTTTCCAAGTTGATTTGCAAGGCAACCAGGGACATTAAGAAATTTTCCATAATTTCTTTCATCTCACTTCCAACCAGCTCCTTTGCAGTTTTGCTAAGAAGGGTCTTTGGGATAATTTGAAGGGGACCTAGGCTAGCAATTAAACTATTATGATATGTATTAAAAGATATTTGGATCATAAATCAGATAAGAGTTTAGACTGAAAGATGCCCAGATGGTCACGGGCAAGCGTGGGGAAAACAAGTATAAGACAGATATAATCTAAACTTGAGAACTTTGGCTAGCTTTTCTAGGATCCCCAGCTTGGTATAACTAAAGTAGTTCCCAGAGCTATGGCTAAAGAAGGGAGGTCCTCTTCCAGGCAGGAAGCTGCCTATGAGCTACAATTAAGTCGAAGACCCCTTAAAGACAGCATGGAATACCAACAACAGTACAAAGGTTCAGCAGTGGTCCCCAGCTAATCTAAAGATAGCGCGAGAGGATGTTGGCAGATTTGTAAGGATGCAAACAGCAGCCGCAGAAGTATGAGAATACCTCTCTACCTGTCTAGATGTATTCTCTTGCTACATGAGTTTCTTATGCATGTGCCTCCATGTAACATATTCTTTATGTTCTCTATATACATGCAGGAGTGTGCTGCAGCCAGCTTAAACTGGAAATCAAGGATTGATTTATTGTTTGGTTAATTGTCTTAAGAAAGTGATGGGGAGAGAAGGGGGAAAAGGAAGGGAATAATCACGTTTTGTAGCACCTACTATGTGCTAAATTCTTTTACAGATATTATCTCATTTTACATTGTACACAGTAACAGCAACATTGTAAAATAATCAACTGTGAATGACTTGGCTATTCTTAGCAATACAATGATCCAAGACAATTCCAAAAGACTCATGATGAAAAATGCTGTCCACATCCAGAGAAAGAAACTACTACTGCTACTATTACCACTACTACTCCTCCTACTCCGACTACTTCTTCTTCTTCTTCTTCTTCTTCTTCTTCTTCCTCTTCCTTTTTGGTGAGGCAATCAGGGTTAAGTGACTTGCCCAGGGTCACACAGCTAATAAGTGTCAAGTGTCTGAGGCCTGGATCTGTTTCTTCTTTCACAACATGACTAATATGGAAATATATTTTACATGATTACATATGTATAACCTATATCAAAATGTTTACTCTCTTAAGGAAGAGGGAAGTGAGGGAGAAATTTCGGAACTCAAAATTTTAAAAAAATGAATGTTAAAATTTGTCTTTCCATGTAATTGGAAAAAAAGAAAATACTATTTAAAAAGGAAAACAAAATCTAAAACAAAACAAATATTATCTAATTTGGTCCTCTCAACATCTCTGGGAGATAGGTGCTGTTATTATTCCCATTTTATGAGGAAACTAAGGTAAACAGAGGTTAAGGGCCTTGCCCAGGGTCACACAGCTAATACATGGCTGAGGGTAGATTTTAGCTTAGGTTTTCCTGATTCCAGACTTGATGCACTATACCATCTAGTTGCCTGGAGAAAATGTTAATAATACAGATTAAACTCAAAAGCCTGTCCATACTTAGGCTGTTGTTAAACATTGAGTTCCAACACTAAGTTCAAAGGAGAGGAGAAATCTGGGCAAAGAAGAATGGAAAATGCCTTTCACTTGAGGGAATAGCATCTGATCCAGGACTTAAAGGAAAAGTGACACTTTAACAGATATGATGGAATCCTAATGAAGCTGCCCCCAGCCCCAATATTCTAACTTCCTTATGGGCCCCACTGAACAGCAGGCATGTCCTTATTTGACCATACAATCTACTATTAACCACATGACAGGCCCCCAGACTCAATATAGCCACTGCCCCTAGCTAGCCACTGCCCTCAGATCCAAGTCACATATTTGAACAGGTGTGTCCATGCACTCAACCACAATCACATCATCCATTTAGCCCAAGACAAGACCACAATACCTAACTATCCATCTTGACCAGAAAGGACCACAATAGCTAGCCAATCAGAAGCAGCATGACCAGGATGTTTGACCACTGAACCATAGAAGGGACCCCTCCCCTTTTACTTAATCCTCTGATAGACCCCTTCTGCCTTTTTAATATTCATAATTTCTGTTGTGTAATCAGCATCATTACACTATAAATTTGCCTGTGTTGTCTTACTAAGTTGCTGGTTCCTCTTGGAACCTATCCTGCCTTCTGAGGGGCATCAGTCCTCAATAAATGCATGTACCCGGATTAGAGGTGGTCTGACTCTGAATTCTTTGAGATGGTACTGCCATAACACACTATGAAACTTCAACAGAAAGAGAGAGAGGAATCCATTCAAAGGAGAAGGCAGAATTAGAGGGAGAAGCAGAGAAGCAATACAACTTAGATGAAGCATATGGGAAAGGGACAGATCTCTGGCCTTCCATTCAGAAGTACTGGGTTCAAATCTCAGCTCCCATACTTAACAGCCATATGAATGAACATGATGGACATGATGGTTTCCGTCATCTGTAAAATGGGAATAATACCAGCACTATCTAACCCACAGAGTTGTTGGAAAGAAAGTACTCTATAAACTCTAAAGAACTATGTGAATTATTCTTGCTAGATTTTTTTTTCCTTGCCTCTTTTGCCTTTAGACTGTCCTCTTGCTCTCTTGTGAAAAACTACCTTTAGGAAAGAATATGACATACTTGTATTTAAGTGTGAATATAAGTCAGTGTGTCACCTGTCTCCAGAGGAATTTGGTTCTTAAGCTTGATTGTGAATTGTGGAATAAAAGGCATTGTCTGTCTTTATAGGAATTTCATGAAGGGTTATCATTTATTGGGAGGAAAGTAGGCAGGGAGCTACAGATAAATAACCCTAATCTTGGACTTTGGAGCCAGAAGGGACCTTAGAGATGATCTAGGTCGAACCCCTGATTTTGCCTATGGAGAAACTGAGGCCAAAAGAGGTTCAGTGACTTAAGGAAAGCTGCATAGGTGTGAAGTAATAGCACCATCAAGCACCAATCTTTTTTCGTATTTTATTTTATTTTTAAAAAAATATTTTGGGCGGCTAGGTGGCACAGTGGATGGAGCTCTGGCCCTGGGGTCAGGAGAACTTGAGTTCAAATCTGACCTCAGGTACTTGACATTTACTAGCTGTGTGACTCTGGGCAAGTCACTCAACACTGATTGCCTCAGCAAAAACAAACAAACAAACAAAAAAACAATGAAATTAGTCTTTCCTCCGCTCTTGGCCTGCTTCAGTTGTGTCCTGAAGCCACCATGAGCAAACAGCTTGTTCGAGAAGACTACAACCAGTCCTGTCCTCAGAGACTGAGACCCAAGCCCCAAGAAGCAGGCCCTCTGCGGTTCCTGGTCGAGGCTCGGCTCGTGGGGGCCCTCATAGGGATGAAAGGATTGAGGATTTGAGCAATGGAGACCCTTTCCAGAGCTCAGATTAAAATAGATCTATTCAACCAAGAGAAAAAGGGTGAAAAGCCTGAAAAAGCAGAGATGCAAGTTTTCAGAAGCAACCACTGTAGAACTAGAGCAAAAGAACTGGTTAAATGTATCATCAGATGGTATCCACCAGCCTCCCCTGACAATGAAGCACAGAAGGCTGTTGCCCAGATGTCCATTCAGGAAAATAAGTAATATGCAGCCCAGCTGGTTTTTATTAATTTTATACAAATAAATTATGTTTGTTTTTTTCTAAAAAAAAAAAATTATTTTTCCCCAACTACCTGTAAAAACAATTTTTAACGTTTGTTGTTTTTTTTTTAAGTTTTGAGTTACAAATTCTATCCCTCCCTCCCTCTCCTCCCCCTCCCTGAGACAGTAAGCAATTTGATCTAGGTTATATGTGAAGCAACAATCATTTATTAAGCATTTACTGTATGCTGGGCATTGTGCTAAGAACTGGGTTAAAAAAAAAAAGATCATTTTTGCCTTTGAGAAGCTTACTTCTACCTGGGGAGATCTCATGGCCATAGAAAGGTATGTTCAAAGAGTAGCAAACAAAGTAGTGTACACACTTGAAGAGTACACCGTGGGGATATAGGATAATTTAGGGGGAAGGGACTAGCACTTGGGTAAAAACAGGAAAGGCTTCATGTAGAAGATGGTACCTGAACTGAGCTTGGAAGGAGACTAGGGATTCTAAGAAATGAAAATGAGGAAAGAGTACATGACAGACATGGGGGACAGAGATGGGAGATGGAGTGGCACGTGTGAGGAACCACAAAAACACCAGTTTGGTTAAATTGTAGAGAACTAGAAGGTGAACAGTATATAATAGGACTGGAAAGGTAGGATGATGAGGCCAAATTGTAAAGAATATTAAATGCCAAACAAAGCCAGGATTTGAACCCAGGTTTTCTTTTTCTTTCTTTTTGTGAGGCAATCAGAGTTGAGTGACTTGCCCAGGGTCATGTAGCTAGTAAGTATCAAGTGTCTGAGGCTGGATTTGAACTCAGGTCCTCCTGACTTCATGGCCTGTGCTTTATCTACTGTGCCACCTAGCTGCCCCAAACCTAGGTTTTCCATTCCTAGGCCAATGACCTTTCCACTGTACTAGTGTGGCCCCCTCAATACATTTGGTGTTAGGCTCCAAGCACCCAACTTTCAGTTAATAACCAAATCTATTTATGGATTGTGCTACAGAGGATGTTTAGAGACAACCAACTTAGCAATTTCATTAGACTATGAGCTCCTTAAAAATAGGGAGTTTTCACCTTTCTTTGTATGGCCGAACATAGTAGGTGTTTAATAAATGCTTGTTGGTTTATTGATTATCCGTGCAGGAGCATAGGGATAAGATCTGTGCCCTGGAAAATGTCTACTTGGCTCTTTTCCTTTTACATCATATTCCTCTCTCTGACTAGAATTTCCTGAGTAGGGGGAGGAGGAAGAAAAGGGAGGGCATACCATCTAATATTTGGGCCTCCATGTAAAAAGTTGAGGAAAGACTTCTTTTGTTAAGTGAACACTGAATACATCCAGAGCTTAGAAAAGGTTTCCTTTTTGTGGACTTCCTTGGAGAGGCTTTTAGTCTTTTCAGTTGTGTCTGACTCTGATTTGTGTCATCTTCAAATTTAAATGGATATGCTATTTAAGTCTTTGACACAAGAAGCTGTACACATAGAGTCCAGAATTCATTCCAGTGATCTGAGCTTCAGTGTTTGCTCTTAAAATGAAGATATTACTGTACCTATTCTCTTATCTCACAACGATATTGAGAAAAAGCAAAAGAGGCCACAGAATCTTCAAGTGTGGACACTCAGAAACCCAACCTGTACTTGAAGAAGTAAGGCCCTTCCCAATATTACTGACCTCTTGTCCTTATCCATGGCCTTTGCTTGAAGACTTCAATTGATGGGGAGCTCACTATCTGTCAAAATAGCCCATTTTACTTTGAGATGACACTATTAGAAAGTTTATTTCCTTACACAGAGCCTAATCCACCCTCTGCAAATTCCTCCCACCACCTCCAAGTCAGGACATCACCTTCATGAGTCCTTTTCCAGAGCAAAGGACAAACAACAACCCCCTCACTCCACACACCCAGCAGTTACTCCTGATTCTGCCTTCTGGGACTATGAATAAATCTAAACCCTCTTCCCTAAGAGCGTCTTTCAAATCCTATCATGGCCTCCTAAGTCTTCTCTTTCAGCAGCCCCTACTTTCCAAGGAGAGAAGTTAGGTGGCACAGTGAATAGAGTGCTGGACCTGGAATCAAGAAGTCTTATCTTC